GCCGGGAGGGCCGCGTGCTCCTCTAGGTGCCAGGAGGAGACCGCTGCTGCGGGCCGCTCACCTCGGGACCCGGGCAACTCTCTGAGCACGGTCGCCTGGTCCCTTTGGGACGCGGGCTGGCCAGAGGAGACGCAGGCAGGGGCTGAGAGTGACGGAGGTGGCATTTATCCCCGTGTAGAACTGCCCTCAGCACACAAGGATGGCCAGCGCGTTCGCTGAGGAGTCCAAGGAGCAGATCCTCTCGGTGGGGCCTATTCGGAGGAAGCGTAAGTGTCTGTGACCCCAAAGGAGACTGTGGGGGTTTGGCCGGCGTCTCGAGGTGAGCCCGCTGGCGGGCCGTGGCTCAGCATCCGGGCACGGCAGGAAAAACCGGGGCGAGGGAGCGTGAGCGCGTGTGTTCTGTGGGGAGCGGCCGGTCCTTCGAGCGGGGATCGGGACAAGCGCAAGGGAGCCCTCGGGGGGGCTTTTGACGCTGTGACGTGAGGGCGGAGGGCATGCGGGTGCCCGTTGGATGGCTGGAGGCGTGGGCCTGGGTGCGAGTCTGCCTTACTCGAGGATGGGCGTTCTTAGGGGTCTGCGGGCGGTCACGTAGGGGACGGCGCGATGGCCGCGTGGCCCTACACAGTGGATGCTCCTTGTGGTCTCAGGGAAAGGGCCCGGGAAGGTTGTGAGCGTCAGGATAGGTGTTGCTTAGGGGTCACGGGGGATGACAGGAGCCTAACTGGGTCCCGGCGTTATCCCCGTGTCCTGTGTGATGCGAGGACATGCCTGGCAGGTGATGGGTGTGCTCTCGTGGGCCCCGCTGTGGTAGCAGAGAGTGTGGGAGCGTGGGTCTTGGGCGGATGAGGATCGGGGGCTTGGGCTCCGGGAGCTTTGCTCAGGTGTCCTCCTTTTCTCGTCGTGCCCAGGATCTGACTGGTGCGAGGACAACGGAGGCTGCGAGCAGATCTGCACGAGCCGGGCGGACGGACCCCTGTGCAGCTGTGTGACAGGGATGCTGCAAGGGGATGGCAAGAGCTGCAGGGGCAAGTACCAGCAGCGACGTAGGAGGAGTCGGGGCGAGCGTCGCGGGAGGCTTCCGTGCTGAAGCTGGAGGCCCAGTGGTGTGGGAAGGGCGGTGGGAACGCGGGGTCTGTTGCGGACAGCAGGGAGTCGGGAGGCAGGGAACGGGGCGCACGCTCTTCTCGGGGGATGAAGGCGCCTCGCAGCACGGTGCCCGAGGGCTGCGAGGCTGAGGGTGTCAGGCTTTGAAGAGCCGCCGGACAGTCAGCGGCAAGGGTGGTGATGGTGTGTAGCACGGTGTGGGGCGGTCGCAGGGGAGCGTCGAGGCTACGGGTCGAGTCTGGAGGCCAACTAAGGGGCTTGTGGGAGGGGGCTGGGGCTGGTGACAAGTAGGGGCACCTGGGAGAGGATGGGACCATTGCAGTTCTTGGGGACTTGGGGTGTCGGTGGAGGGGCGGGCGTCCGTCGCCCGCGTGCCGAGGCCCCGGCTCGAGCACGTGTTTTCTGGTGTCGGCAGCCTCCAGCTCTTC